GCCCCCCCCCCCCCCCCGCCAAAATGGAACTCTTGACGGAGGGAAGCACATGTGGATTTTTGGCAACTCATCCTCATCCTCATCTCTGCCGCATTATTTCCTCTACATCTTGTCCATGATGATCAAGTTCACACCCGATGGAACCTGCCCATAGTCAACTCTCTCCTCCAAGGCGTTCTCTCAACCCTCGCTTCCCACAACGTCAAACTTGAGAACATCACAACAACTTCCGTCCCCGGCTCCTTCGAGCTTCCTTTCGCCTGCAAGCACATCATCACCACCGAACAGACACAGGATGCCGACGCAGATGTTGCCGGCGGCGCCTCTTCTACTGCGGGTTACGACGCTTGCATCGCTATCGGTGTCCTCATCAAGGGTGATACCATGCACTTTGAATACATCGCCGACTCTACCAGTCAAGGGTTGATGAGAGTTGGGCTCGACACGGGTGTTCCGGTCATTTTCGGCGTCTTGACGTGCATGAACGACGAGCAGGCCATGGCGAGGGCTGGGCTTACGAAGGGTGGACACAACCATGGGATTGATTGGGCACAGGCTGCCATAGAAATGGGGAATCTTCGTCGTAAATCTTCTTCTCTTTGATTGTGACTGCAAAACTTATCTTTACATTGACATTTTGAACGCTGAAAGCCCGTAGCTCTAATATCACATTTTGGAACATTGTACATCAAAAAGAAACAAGTTTGCGGAATGGAAAAGTGGAGGTGTGGGTGAGATTTGCTAAAATCGGTGACAGCATCTTCTGATCTTGTTTTTGTGCAAATACAAACAGAGTCCCACGATGCCATTCAGAAAAGATCAAAATAGTCTTTTTCCTCTCCCTTCAACCCAAGCAGTAAAGATGACGGACGAATGGACGCATCATAGTGGATTATACTGGACAAGATTCACAAATGATTCACAACATTTACGAATGATTCACGGATTACCGACGACGTTGCTAAGCGGAGCACAGGGCGTTTGAGTTGAGGTGGAAAGCAACTCTCAAATTAGCCCTAACTCACTTCTATACACGAAAAGCACTACCACATTTAGAAAAGATCAAACTAAATGCCATGATTCTGGCCCTAACTCATATCTGTACACAAAAAGCACATTGCCACATTTGGAGATGATCATGTTAAATGCCATGATCCTGACTCAAAAATAGTAGACCTGACACACGCACTGTCCACTGGACGTTGAGGGGTTCGAACCCTCGGCCTTCTGCATGCAAAGCAGACGCGCTACCACTGCGCCAAACGCCCTGCCTGTCCAAGTAAGGAAGCATGTACCTTTATACAAAAACATTTCCAAAGCTAACTGAACAGACCTCCTCGGAAATCCCCTCCATCTTGCTGGGATAGGCATCATGCCTCGGGGGTTCCTATGAAGTGGAGCTGCCGATGGGGCAGTGCATTGCTGAGTCTATGTGTGGGGTTGAGGGGTGGGCTCATAACCTGATGGTTGGTGATATCGATGGGATTGACTAACCAAGAATTTGGAAAAATACTACTCATCGAAAATGGATAATACCAACGTACATTCGAGGGATGATGACGCAATAGAAAAGATGCAAGAGTCAATCGATGGTGAAGGGAGGAGACAAAGTATTCAAGGGATTTTGAATGGAGGGCAACGGGACTTTTGGGTATTGCGAGATAGGCGGCCCAGCATCACTCATAAAATTTTGACTGTGAAGGTAATATGACGGGTACACCAAATATATAAAAATAAAGGCAGAGAACTGATCCTCCCATAAGTGCGTAATTTGCATGTATGTTGGTTTATGAACTTCCTGTTTTATGAACTTATGAGCTATTCGCATAGGATTGCCTGACCTGTTTTACTGAAGAGGCATTGTCTGTCATCAGCTATCTCATTTCTGCAGTTGGATTCCCATTAATATTCCGATGTGAAATGCTGTCGCTCCAAATTGAAGTATATCCCAAGATCGTAGCGTGCTGTCTTCCACCAAAGTCTTCAGAACTTCAATGCCCCACCAGCATCCTGCTTGATCGGCATCACCCACCCATTGCGTGCGTCGAAGCCTTAGCATACTCGAGCAGTTTGCGGAACCTGCAACCTTGTCCGAAGCGGTTTCCCATTCCCTGTTGTCAATTTCCAAAGGCAACTTCACCTTTCGCCATCTTTTGTACCTCTCAGTCCGCTTCCACAGGTCACTTTTGTCCCTTGTATCCGTAACGCGAAAAAAATCCCCTCCTTCAAAATAGGGAACAACCCGAGCACTTCGAAGCCGGTCCGAAGCCGTAAGAAACAGTCTGAGTCTGAATGTCATTGGGGGACACTTCCGATGCAGCGGTGGCGGTGGAATGAATTGCACGCATACAAATGCTCCCTTCATTTGCTGAAAGGTTGATCGCTATCTTCTGAGAGACTCTGGTAAAGGTCTATGTTTCTCCGATTCTCCACTTCAATGACTCAAATAATGTAATTTGTTTTCATGATATAATTATCGTGTCCGACTGTGGGTGGAACGAAATTGATTCAAAGACGAGCTGAAGACCACCAGCTGTTCAATGCTGGTAAAACGCATGTATGGAGATGTTCCGTCGAACCAAATACTGTTCAAGCTCAGAGCACGTTGATATCAATTTTCCCGCCATACCTTCCAAGAGCTATGGCCATCTCATCGGCTGGCACCACCACCATGACACTTTCTATGACTGAGTACTGCGTTGAGGTGTTTGGTACTCACAAGTCGTTGATTGCTCGAGCCGTCCAAATACCCGCTGAAAATTAATGCTGCACCGAAATCGCTGATGGCGAGGCGCTGAAGCAATGAGCTTGAGCACCTGTTTCCGCATTGTGGCGCACTTTCCTCTCATTCTTAGCCTTCCCTCCACACTCTCCAGACGGCGCGCGAAAGTCTCACTCCGGGCCAACGTCCTCACCAGGCGCGCGTCACTCGTCCAATTCAGCTCATCCTAACCGACTTGAAAGTAACGGGTCCCAATCTCCACTCTCTGGATCCCCTTTTCCAAACCACTCACATTGGTTCGGAGTAAAATGATCGCAGGAAAAGAGAAGCTCGTAGAGAAGTAATTTGAGCCATCAAATGCGTGAATATCGTGTATCTCTTCGCCGTTCAGCTTACCTCCTTTCTCCATGGAACATCTGTGGTCAAGCCGCAAAATGACTATCCGCATCAGATGTTTTCGCCTCACCCATCTTTGAACACCACGAATTCGAAACGCACAATCACATACGTCTAGGCAAGCTGCCAAGTGGGTGAGATTGCAGATGATTTGGGCCCGGAAAAAATTGTTGCGGTAAGATGAGGAGAAAAAATGTGCCCAGGCCAGCGAGTCCTGTGATGTGGACGAGAGGTTGATGGGATCTGCAACATTATGCCGCTCATCGCATGGATGCCTCTGTTACATCCCCTTTCATCCACTTCTATCGTCTCCACTCGGTTCCGCAATATCACCACCGCAGCTGCGGCTCCCATCGTTGCACGAAGTCTCTTACTCCCAAATCGTTCAGTCGCATGCCTCAAGGAAACTCGCCCTCTTACGTGTTAAAGCGATGAGGCGTCACACTGTTATCAGAATAGAAGTTCCTCCGGCTCCTGACGTCCTCCTGACATGCGCCCCATTCCACTGAAAAGGGTTCAGCACAATCATCGCATTCTATGCGCTCCTCGCTCAGTCGAGGTTGCATGTGCTCCGCACATTTTAATGCTGGTGATCGCAGTGTGCGTATAATCTCGCGATTCGCAAATGCCCGAGATCAGTGAGATCAGTACCTTCAAACTCCAGGAGCTGCGAGTTCCCCTCAAAATTCCCTCGTCGCGGTGAGCAGAGGAAACCAATTGGTGAAACGCCACCCTACCTGTGGTTGTGTGTTGTCGCCGCCGAGGTGTTCGAGACCTCCCTATTCAACGGTGGGAGTGAGAGGTTCTTAGATGTATAGGATAGGTTTCGAGTATTGGCTCTTATGCAAGTCCCAAACGATGGGCAAGCAGAGTCCTTGCGAGCCTCAACGATTTATGAATGTAAAGGGATGTGATTGGATGTTGTTGATTGTCTGATTTTCATTTTGATCGACAAATAAGTCAAATACCCATCCCAAAGTAAACAAACACTTGACCACAACAAAGAAAACATCCATGAACACAAATCTTGCGTATGTCGACATCAACTGTTCATGACAAAACATGAACGTCATCAACCCACACAGGAGCGCCTCCTCACAATCCACTGTGCGCGATATGCAATTAGAGAGCCCCACAGCAAACTTCGTGGCAAGGTACTCTCGAATTTCAGTGCTGATATGGAAAAAGGTCGGAGGTTGGATCCGATGGGATGCACCTGGTTTGAAACGGGTGAGAAACTATGTACCGAGAACAACGAGACTCTCAGATGGGACTCAATTTCAAAGTCGAGAGATTGGCGCCCCTTCGTTCATGTTCAGACATCGAAGTCTCTGACTAGCCTGATGCTGTAAGGTCGGTTCGGATCTCTGAGCTGTTTGTTGGGGAAATCTCAATCTTCACAGTGAAGCGAGCGTTTCATCAATATTGATTGTGAGGAAGTGACATGTGACTTCGAGAGGGCGCCGTCCACAACATCTAGTGAGGGTTTGGTGGAATCGCTTGATTTTGTAATTCATCTTCGATCGAATTCTATTTTCTGGACATGATGCAAGACCATGTGACCGTCGAGGATCAACTTCAATTATTACCCAGCACGAACGTGTGCGCCACACTCCGCCCTCTCAAGCAAGCTGCGATGACACGAAGTGCTTGGAGGTCAACTTGGCGTCGTTTCAGCGAGCAGTGTTGATGACAGTTGGTTACTTCGTTTCGTTGCGGTTTGCTTGAGCACTTCACAAGAACGTATCGCTAGACTATGTTCTCTTTCAGTTACGGGTAATGTTTGGAGACCTTTGAGTAAAAAAGAAGAAGATAGTGTTGACGTAAGTGGGTTGACGTAGGTGGGTTGACGTAAGTGGGTTGTGAAAGCGATCCCCTTGACCAAAAACAACACAAACCGCTGAATATTTCATCAGTCTCCTTGTTGAAAAGCACACACCCAACCAGCTTCGATGTCACTTCGATGTCCCTTTTTCTCGAACTGTTCTGGACCTCCTCGCTCCAGAGCGGTAGTGAATGATATATGTTGTTTTTTAACGTCCCCCCCAACCGTCAACTATTTGTGGTTGTGTTTTTCACCCCGTCTTGTCTTGACCGCCGAACGATCCCCCAACCGACTTACTCTCACTTGACTCTTGAATAACCCTGAACCTCTTGAATCCCTGGACTTCATGTCAGGAGGGGAAAAAGTAGTACTAAGCGTATGAGCTCCAAGAGCGGCTGGAGATCTCTTTTTATTACATATCATTCATATATATATTAGTGCCGTATATGCCACAGGGGCGTTTGGCGCAGTGGTAGCGCGTCTGCTTTGCATGCAGAAGGCCGAGGGTTCGAACCCCTCAACGTCCATGTTCCGTGATTATCAATGTTTCGTTATTAACGTTTCGAAATCGTTTTTGTCACATTACGAGATATGCATGCGACTTAGCATGATGTTGATCGATGTCCACATCGACATATGATTTTTCCTCTCTCGTACTCTCAGATCACTCTGAAAGAGTAGTCTCGTGCCCATCCCACTGCCCATCCACTTGTCAGTAAGTAGCTCGCGGTCCGGCTTTCAACCAATCAGGATCGCCTGCGAATCCTGCTTCGCGATTGGCTGGAACGCTCGACTCCCAACTCGACGGAACTGCTGGGTACGAGCCTACTCAAAAGTGTTCGAGCCCGATTCTGGACATTTCTTTGTATCTTCTGTGAAAAAAGTATCCCCATGCACTTCTCCAACTCATCTTGGCGTTCTTACAGTAACGAAAACCCAATATACAAAATGAACAAGATGCTTCGGCTTAATCATGGTAATGTCAAATAAATACCCTCAGAGATCCAGAAAGTTTCCAACGTCATCAAATGGTATAACATATGTGTGGGGCAGAGTAGAACTGCAACCACGGAGGCAGGATACAATCGCTCTTTGTTCCCCTCAACGTTGGTTCTGTTGAGGGAGTGCGAAAGGACTGGAAAGCAAACCTTGTTGTGGTGTATGCCCAGCAGCCATAGGCCATGGATAGTATCCCGATCCGCTGGTCCCACCAGCGTTTCCACCAGCGATTCCTCCGAGCCCGTTGCCAAACAATGAAACGCCACCCCCACCTCCGCCAAACCCGCTTAAGCTCTCCAAGATGCTGCTCCCACCCCCGAACCCTG